AAACCTCAACACATGAATAAGAACAAGACACGTTGTCGATACTAATTTTATTTTATTTTTCAAGGTAATCATTTTTACTTTTTACAGACATACGAAAGCGTGTATAGAAAAAAAATAGACAATCTTTTTAGCACATCCTGACCAGTATTACACACACAAACACACACACACATACACACACGAACACACACATACACTCACACACAAATACACACACGCAGACACGCACAATTAGTCAATTAGTTAACCAATCGTGGAATGAACTTTTGCGAAAGTAAACAACTTGTGTTTCGCGCGCTCATATGACCTTAGCAGTTGCGAGCGCCGTAAAACCCTATACTACATACATACATAGACACGCACATAGAGGCATACTCCAGGTATGCCACATCTATAAGTTCCCATTTCAGATAAATCAGGGTCAGTTTCAAATTCAAGTGTTTAAGCCCAAAATTAGGTAGTATAAAGACAAATAAGGTAAAAAAAAAAAAAGACGAACATCACCCAGGTAAACGTAGTTCACCGAGTGGGGCTTGCTTTTCATGATATTATTAGGTTTCTAAAACTAGTCCGAATATGACCATGCTACCCAGAATTTTGTCACAAGGAAACAAATTATGTATTGAATACATTAGATTTAGAATGAGACCAGATACATTTGACAGCCTCTAGAGTTTTCTGACACTCTACATTGAAAAAAAGAGCACCAATTACAAACAAGATATTTACAAGAAAGATAAATAAACAGAACAATGATATTGATATTGATGCTATTGATATTGAAATTGGTCTTGACGCATTTCTTGCTCTCCCGTTGCACTTGTTGTGGACTCCGCTGTAGTAGCGTGTACACTTTTCAAGTGTTTGAATAGAACACTGGGCATTTCTGCTTGCAGCTCATCTTCTGTAAGACATCTAATGTCTTTATCTTGGGAACTTGGGGATCATGCTCTTAAAGAAGAGCAGGTCCTCATCTTGCTCCTGTGGTGAAGCGGTCGGTCACAACACGAGAGCAGGCGGACAAAATGTTCTGGCTGCCACTAAACTCACCGGGGGCTCTCGTGGCCTAGAGGTTAAGGTGTTGGCCTCTCATTCAAAGGCCCCGGGTTCGAATCTTGGTAGCGACCGAACCCATTTTTTCCTCTAATATTGTCTCCTTTCACCTCCTTTCCTGCTCTCTAGCAAAGTTCTGTCGTCTGCTTTCGAGTCTCCTCTTTCTGCCCCCACCCCCTCACCTCCTTTGCCCCCCCCCCCCTCCTCTGGGCTCCTGACCCTTTCTGTAGCCTTTCTACTGTTACTCCTTGACTCCTTCTTACTGCTGTCTTTCAGCCACACCCCTGTTCTTCAGGTAGGAAAGATCTACACCCAGCCTTCTCGGACAAGGGCGAAAAATCTCGGAGGGCCCATATGCAAGTTGCGCACGTTAAAGATCCCTTGGTGGTCTAAAGTCGATAAGAGTAGGCTTCGACTGCCACCCGGGCAAAAGTCAAAATTTCCTACCAACTGAAATATTAGGTGTGTCCAGCGCGCTTATATGACCTTATGCAGTTGCTAGCGCCGTAAAACACTTACCCCCCCAAAAAAAATAAATACAAAAAAAAATAAAAAAAAAAATAAAATAAAATAATAATAAATAAAAAATAAAACCCACCACACACACGAACGACATCTATCACTATAGCATCAACACGAACAATTGGTGGGAATACAGAAAGGGATCAGATAAAAAATACATTCTTTCGTGCGTTTCACACACGCTGCCATACGAACGCGGATGTTTGGCGTGTACAAGCCGTTAGGTGGGCAAAAGGCAGGGGGGGTGTTGGGGGGGGGGGGGGGTGTAGGGAGGGGTAGTTTTTGACAAGTGGCTGTGAGTCTGAATTTAGCATTGAAAACACAAAAAAGCAAAAGAAACAGATAGAACAAAAGAACAGGTTATAAATTCTTGATCCTGATTGTGTAATGCTGCAGTTTCACTTCGCTCTGCCGCGCGTCGCAGTTAATACAATGTAGCCTAGGAGCTGTCTCCTAGGAGGACGGAATATTGCGCAGGTTTTGTCTTGTAATGCAGCGGGTTACTAAATAAGCCGCCTCCTCATGGAAGGTAAATTGCGCAGGTTTTTTGAGTGTGGTATCAATTCTGAGGTAGTTGTTGTCAAATCAGAATTGCAACTCGACTATGATTGAGAGTTCACTAAAAACAGTTCGAGTAGTAGACCTTACTACCAGGTTGGGTGTCCGGGGGAGGGGGTGGGTGGGGTGGGGGGTTACAATAGCTTGCTCATCACAGCTTATCAGAGTCAACAGCTGACGCAGGAAGAGTTCCTCGGCAAGCTGGCCCAAAGAATGCTTCCTGTGAGAATGTAAATATCGCTTTTATCACCACTTTTATCAAGTATTTTAATCAGCGATTTTTAAGAAATGTGCTCTCCTAAAGACATTGTTCTGCTCGAAATCCGTCAGCCATCTCCCTGTGGTGAGAATGGGGCAACAAACATCAAGACTGTTTTATCCTGAATAAAATATTAATCATTAATGAAATAACAGCCTCGATAATTGGCTAACAGAAGAAGTCTACTAAATTAAGGAGCTCTCGTGGCCAAGAGGTTAAGGTCTTCTGGTAGGAAAGATCTACACCTAGCCTTCCCGGACAAAGACTAAAAATCTCGGAGGACTGGTGTGCAAGTTGTGCATGTTAAAGATCCCTTGGTGGTCTAAAATTGATAAGAGTAGGCCTCGGCCGCCACTCGGGCAAAATTGAAAATTTCCTACCAGCTGAAAATGTTTAATGAGTCCCGCGCACTCATATGACCTTATGCAGTTGCGAGTGCCGAAAAACACTTACAAAATAAAAAAAAACCAATGCTAAATTAAACTTATACTAATAGAATTTCAAGTCGATACTTTGTTGAATACCCAAGAAATACTCGATACCAAAAATCCCTGCACAATTTTCCAACAGGTTTTTGGAAATTCCTTTGAACTTTTTGACAATAGGATTACAAATCTGAGCAATGTTCCGCCGCCCGTCTCCTGTGTCCAAAATTAGTAACTACAGGAAAAATCGGTATATTTAGGCAGCCCTGGGCATACTCACACAACCACTCCCGCATCCATTCTCATACACCAACCCTCACATAATGCCGGAGTAAAACAAACAAACCCAAAAACTAAAAATGCCTCCGTCCCCTTCCTAAAACACACAAAGACAAAACTGACCCCCCCCCCTCCCCCCCACAAAATACATGTACTAACAAATATAATTACCATGTCCCAATTCATTACCAATTAACCGCATTCTTTTAAAAAGGGGGGGGGGGGGGGTGCCTTTTTTATCACCGCGAAGACGCATATCACAGCTATGATTGAGATAACAGTAATAGTAATACGTATGTTAGTTAAATCGGGGGCCTGTAGATATACTGATACAAGTACAAGTTCAGGGCACACCACATCTTCTCCCAATTCCTTTCTGATTTTCCCCTCTAGTTTCCTTTCCAGTTCCTCCAGTTTGGTGTCTGCAACTTTCTTATGGTTGTGTGTTAGCTCTCCAACTTTCTCAGCATCCTGCCACCTGTTAATTAATGAATACACGAATAAATGTGGGGCATCGTGGTGAAATCAGGCGCTCGTCAAAATAACGAATCGAAGAAATCAACACTTTTCCACTATTGCGGTAATTTTTGTTTCCAATTTATTCTTTCTTTTTTTATCCAACATCTTTTACGTCATAACTACTAACATAATTTCAGTGTGGATTTTACTGAGCAACGTTGCTGAAAGGCACAAAAAAGCTAAGAATGCTTCAGCTTTGACAGTCACACAACTTTGGCGGCCATATTCTAGCTAAATCTAACGCCCGACACCTCCTTAACTCGCAAGTTTGGTTCCGCCAAAACTTAACGTCATGGCCATGTCGCTGGGCGAGGAAGGGAGCAGGGGTGCAATTTGGGAGTAGATGTTACCCCGTCATGTCAGCCCTGAGCACAGAATTCTACACTGTGGCCCTGAGCGATGCAGATGGTCACGGTAGTGTGGGTGTGAAATCTCACGACTGCTCGTGAGAGTGCTTGAGTAGCGAGCCACTATAGAAACTGTCCTGGGTAGAGGTGTGAGAGGTTTGAAATTAGATTGACCAATGCCTGCCGCCCTGATCGTACGGCCAGCTGAGAGAGGAGTTCCTCGAATCGTTGTTACATGGCAGTGAGGGGTGGCATTGGTCGACTGCTTGTAACGCCGGTGGGTGGGGCTAAGGGTGGAAGCAAAGGATTATGTTCAAACGTTTCTGTTTTTAAAAGGTCAAACAGTGGTCCTATGAAAGGCAAGCACTGGTGGTAATTGGATAAGTAAGACTGACGCATGCCATTATTAGACAGGATAGCAACTGAGAGGTGTTCTGACCACTGCTGGCCGATCGGACAAGCGATTCTTGATCCCACAGGCTGGGCCTTTGAACTTCCCCTCCCCCCTCTTTCCCTCTCCTCCTAAATTTCCCTGTCTTTTGAGTAAGAGTTTTACGGCACTTGCATAACAATAAGGTCGTATAAGTGCCGAAGATTAGAGGTGTTACAAGAGAGTAACCGAAACAAAAAAAGAAGGAGGAGAGATAAGGAGGATAGATGTTTGATAGCAAAGAAGAAGCAAACCACACCAGAGCACCCGCCAACCACCCACAATGTCCATGTCTAAAACGGAAATTGTCTAAGACGGAGTATTTTTCTGGCTTGCCTGCGATTCCGTCTTGCACGGGAGCGACAGCATCTCACAATATCTCCCCATAAGCGAGCGAGGCTTCCCTTTACAGCCGCTCTGATAAGGCCTGCTACAGCTAAAAGTAAAAGGATTATAATACATATAATACCCACAACAAAATATACGACTGGCTGGTATTTTTGTCCCGGGTCTACGTCCTCCCCAAACACCCTGCTGATTCTTTTCCCTGGTTCCCTTTCACTTTTGGATTCTTTCACTTTGGTGAAGGCAACGTCCTTTTCATTTCTTGATAGCTGTCCAATTTTTTCCGCATTCAGCCACCTGTTAAAGTAAAAAAATGCACGAGAAATTAAGTTTTTATGTCTTACGTCTTCAATGACAAATGTAATTCATTTGGGATCTGGGCTGCTTCGGCCCTGCCTGTTGAGGCTAACCTTAATAATAATAATAATAATAATAATAATAATAATAATAATAATAATAATAATATAAGACATAATAATAGTTATAACAATTATATTAATATTAATAACGATAATAATAATAATAATATAAAAATACATTTGTAGTAATAATAATAGTAATAATAATAGTAATAATAATAATAATAATATTAGTAATAATAAAACAATAACAATAACTGTAAAAACAATAGTAACAATAACAATAACAACAATAATAATAATAATAATAATAATAATAATAATAATAATAATAATAATAATAATATTAATAATAATAATAATAATATATAACATTTATATAGCACATTTCCAAAAAAGTAGCTCAATGCGCTTTACATTGGAACACCCATTTTTCAAAAACCTTTCTTACTACTTCCTTTCTTCTCATGCAATATACATTAATGCACACACACACACACACACACACACACACACACACACACACACACACACACACACACACACACACACACACACACACACACACACACATACACAGACTATATTCATCCAGACATAGGAACAGAACAACTATAATGAAAAATAACGTTAAAAGCTTATGAAGGATAGGCCTGTAGGAACAGAAAATGTTTAAGATGTCTTTTGAAACTATCATTGTTTTTATTTGTTTAGCTTCATGGGTAATCTGTTCCACATAAATGAACCAAGATATGAGAAAGAATGATTTTACAGGTGTCACAAGTAGGGTGTTATCGTTTGATGATCTTAGGTTTCTCCCTGGCTTATAAATACTGATAAGTTCTTGTAGATAAAAAGGAGCAGTTTTATTTACACATTTGAAACACATGACCCAGATTTTAAATATTATTCTTTCTTTTACAGAGAGCCAATGCAGTCCTTTTAATAATGGGGTGACATGGTCTCGTTTTTTTAGATCTTGTTATCTGTCTAGCGGCATTGTTTTGAATTACTTGTAAACGATTCAAATATTTGTTGCTCAGACCTGCTAGGAGTGAGTTACAATAGTCTAATCTAGATAGGAAAAGAGATGTTACCAGTGTTTTTGTGGTCTCTTCGTTTAAGTACTTTCGAACTAGGCCTATCCTTCTAAGCTGAAAATAAAGGGATTTGGACAGAGATCCTACAAACGAGCCCATTGATAAGTGGTGATATACACCGAGATTCCTGACAACTTCTTTACTAGATGTCATGTGCATATATAAATCAAAGTTGACACTTTCCAGATCTTTATTTAATCGTGGATTTTTTTATAAGAATGATGTCTGTCTTTTCTTCGTTTAGTTTCAATTTGTTTACTGTCATCCACTTTTTAATTTCATAAAAACATTGTTTAGTGATAGAAATCATGTTTGGCAGATCTTGAATGGTGCTATTAACATACATTTGGGAACCATCGGCATAAAAATGATAATTCAATCCATGATTTGGTAAAATGCTTGCTAAGGGCTGTGTATATAGTGTAAAGAGCACTGGTCCAAGAACAGACCTCTGTGGAACTCCATAATCGAGCCTGACCTGCTTTGAAAAGCTATTTTTAATTCGAAGTGGCTAGCCGTACTCACACACACACAAACACACAGACACACACAGACAAACACACAGACACACACACAAACACACACATACATACACAGACAAACACACACAGACACACACAAACACACACACACATACAGCACGAAATGTACAAAGTAGCCTCTCTTCAGTTGCTAACTTCTTGTACCATGTATGTTATGTTGCACGCAGATTTAAGAAGTGAGTTCAATTCGCTTGTGTGGGAGGAGGGGGATATAATGTAGAAGGAAAAAGAAAAAATCGGGGACTTTTGCTTTTTTTCTGTTTACTGCTGTTTTCGAATTAAATACAATGTACATGTACAGAATTCAACATAAGTTAAGGACCACTTGCAAACACTCTGAGTGGTCTTCTTGGACTGATCCAGTGGCTTGACGGCGCTGCCTCAGGCGTACAATGACAAAGTGTGACACTGCAAGCTCTTTTCGCAATTTCTCGGGCTTCAACTCTACCCTGCAGCCATGCCATAGCTCTGGCACTGGCACAATCATAGTCTCTCAGCTTCCGTCTTGGTGGCATGTTGATGCGATACTGGATTTTACGCAAACCGCGGCTTATATTGCCACCAAAGTGAGCACAGTTCGAGACCGTACGGCCGTTTATGACGTGCACCAGATATTTTAACAGAGGAATGTCCGTGGTGTCGCACACAAACCGATAACTCCCCCCCCCCCCAGCAAATTTGGCTAAAATTCCTCGAGGATTTCCGTGCTGCACGAGGTGGTTTTGCCACTTTAGGAAGCTTTGTCGTACGCATTGGTAACCCATTAACACTTTTGAAGCAAAAACAATTGAAACATTCCTTACTGTGTTTCTTTTCGGATTTTAAAAAAAATCAGGGCTGTCTGTCAAGGTGGACCTTAATTTATCTTGGAAGTCTTTAATGTTCCGTTTAAGCGAACTCAGCAATATTAGGGAAGGGAATAAGGGTATGATCTACATTCCAACTCGCAAGTTAAGGTCATCGGTTGACAAAAATAAATTTCTTTTACAGTCTATGAAACTTAAAACAATAGGTGAAAACGGCATTTGAATATCAAGGCCACAAGATCTAGAATGCTTTGCCCAGTAGTTTAAGAGAGATGAAATCCTTTGATTTCTGTTTTAAATTGATAAGATGAATATTTTGAGAGATTTTGTTCTGGTCAGAACACAAAGATTTATGTTACAGTTGTATTGTAAAGCGCTCAGAGCTTGTGTACTTTAATCGGAGATGAGCGCTATATAAAATATTCCATTTATGGTTACTTACGAGCACTTGGCGTTGCCATATTTCTTGGTGTAGTTCCCCAGACAACAAATGATAGCGCCATCACCTCGACATGCTGAGCCTCGCCGACGAATCTGTCCTTCCGGGCACTGCTCAGGACAAGGACGGCACTGAAACAGAACAAAATACATCAGTGCTTTTATTTGCAGTCTTTTTACTTGTCGCTTTCATTTATAGAACTAAATTCGTTAACTAAACATCAATTTCGTTCATCCTGCATTAGAACTGAACCCTCAAGTAATAACGTTCACCACTCCACTACAAACCCATTCAAAGGCATAACTCATAGGACGGTCGCGTTCGCCTCCCACAGGTTCACGGTCACAGAGTCCCTTAAAATAGTGGCAAGACAGACAATGAACTAATCACAATTCACTTGAGCACTCTTCTGGATTGCTCCGGGGCTAACATAATTTTGACATAGAATAGTGTACAGTCTATTGCGTTTATTTTTAGGCTGCCTACCTGTGGGTTATGTTTCGGCACTATTCGACAGGACCGCATTTGAGATGTGCCGTCTTATTAATATCAATGTACCGCCTAACTGGCTACGAGTGTCGTCAACGCTTGGGTTATCCCAAAGAGCGATTTATAGGTCAGATTACCACTGCTGGAAATCCTATTATGTTTAGATAAAGCGCATGGACTTTGGCATGGCATAGTCGATGTTTCACGGCGCTACAGACACAGAAATGATAGTTACGGCGCAATCGAGGACCTTTGTCTGATAATAATATTTGGTTAGTATTTGTTTCTGGCTTCTTTATTTCATCATTGCGGGTGCTTTACGTAACAGAACATTCTTTTAAAAATGGGCGGCACTACACGACCGTGCTTTCTGGACGAACCGCGCTTGGTGCAAATATTATAGACTTAGGAAAACGTGCTAATGTTGCACTAGACACAGTGGAATATGGTAATGTTCGACCGGTCTCAGCAAAATCGGATCTTCCAGAATGCTGCACTTTACTTTCGCAATTCCTTATGTATTTGTGGACCGATTTGAACGGGTTTTTGCCACACGCATTACTAGTAGAAATAGGTGATCGTGTTGGACAGTGTCGTAATATTGTTTAAAAACATGAAACAAAACGAAAACATAAATAAAAAAACAACAAACAACCACAACCCAAAACCGAATAAGACAAAAACAAAACGACAATATACAAGCAAGCAAGCAAGCAAGCAAGCAAGCAAGCAAGCAAGCAAGCAAACGAACAAACAGCCATTCCCCTCCCCCAAAAATAAACAAATGAAAAAAGCCCAAAACAACAACAAACAAAAAGCTATTAAAAACAAAAACAAACAAAAAACAAACAGGAACCAAATGCGTTATTTGCACAGGTGACTCTTTCGGACAAGTGACATGACTATGATTGGTAATAATA